AGTGTGATACTTAAAATTGTAATTATTAATCAATTTTATTCTTATTATTTCAGGATGGAATGCAAATGCCCTAATATGGGCTTGCTACTGAAGTGCATGCATTGCATGGCTTCTGGCCAGAGCAAGAAGTGGGTGGATATGAACCACCGATTCAAATGGCCGAAAATGCTTCTGAAATCCCAGAATACGGGATAGCTGCAGGAACACCGCAATATATGCCAGCGCCTGGATTCTATCAATATGAGCCAGTGCAAGATGTGGGTGTATATGCGTCGTTTATTCCATTGTTTAAAAATAGGCCTAGTTCTTGGTCAAAAGAAATACAAATGACCGCGAAATGACCGATGAATGAAACGATGCATCGTCGGCACAAGTGCCCACTTATAGGCCATCATCGGTAGCTTTCGAGATTGAGCCAGCAACTGAAGTGTTGGTATGTGAGCCTATTGCTGAAAATATAGCAGAGGCACCTCTCTTCTCACGTTCGATGGAATGTTTACTAAATCATAACAAAGGAACATATTATTGATATTATTACAGTATTAATTTGATTATAATAGAAATATTTATGATACTTGGATATATTTTTATACATGCAACTGTTGAGATTGCAGTTAGATATTTGAGTTTGTTCCTTAAACCATCTTTAAATCCGGTATTGTCTTTTAGATAAGGGAGAAAATATCTTACGTTTCACTAAGCATTAAATATTAAATATATAAAATAAAATCAATTAAAAGACAACATTTAAAACATAAGTAACAAACGAATGATAAACATCGCCAATAAGAGATTATACTAATTTTATTTTTTTTTTTAACTAGAAATGATCGTATACACTCAGAGATGCAAATTAAACAATAACTATTCGTTTTTAATATATAAATTTTGATGACATTTTAGCATTCTTAATCATCCAACAATTCGATATTGTGGATCATTATATTATTTATTGACATCGCTGAATACATTTATAGCGTTAAATTCAGTTTTCATAATTAAACAAATGGAAACAAAACACATTTTTAGAGGCTATCGGATGTTGTAATTATTTTTGTTTTATTAATTGAAATTATACATTATTTTTTGTTCATTTTCGTCGTGATTTTGATAGTATAAAAATATTTTTTGATCTAATTGTAATTAGACCATAAATTAAAAATTAAATAGGTGTCACAGACAGAAATTTAGTTTTTACTTTTTACGTTTAAACATCTATAATGCAGGCTTTTCATAGTTAAGCAACGTTGCCAACGATAAAAGCGCATTTCCATTTAACGATAACATAATATATGCAATTTTTCTCGTTTTCTTTTATCGAAAAATCATCATATTGTAAGACTCAGAGAATTTATCTCGATTTTGCGTCTCTTATTTATATAAGTCTAAATTAACAATATGAAACCGGTAATATTGCATTCTCTTGTTGTCTGCGAGTTTTAAAGAGTTCAATTCTTACAAAATTCCTATTACAGAGCTGAAGATTTGGGCTCACATTACTTGAAAATAATTTGACCAAATACACACAAGTATTGTTTATTTAATTTGCGTTTCGCAGTGTTGCAAACCAAAACCAGCAATTATTTGTTGTGACGTCCTCACCAAGCCAAGCTGCAATTTTTAATTATATTTGAAATTAAATAAATTTTTAATACGCTTTCCACCTCAAATTAGTAGTGACCTGCTCCTGTATATAATAATTTTTTAAAAAGTAGAGTCATCTATCTAACTGCATTCGGTAGGAAATCTTTAAATGGAAATAACGTGACTTTCAATTTGCATCGAAAGTTCATATATAGTTATTTGGGTATGCTACTCCTAAAGTATTTATTTGTCGGCTTTCTTATATATAACTCCGTTCTTGAAATTGAAAAAAGACAGACTCATAGTCTGACAGACAGCACTGAAAACTTATGAGTCGACAATTGTTTTTTAAGTTGCAGCTCAATTATCCAGCATAAAGCGAGTACTTAAACTTGATGCTTTGCCTACAAAATTCTGTGGCGCGTTTCTTTTTAAACACACCGAATATCTATTGTTCTTATATTTATAAATATCTAGTTTTTGCTATAAAATTATATTCTAAATATACGTTAAAATATTGTTATATAATATTTGAATTAACCTAGTTTAATAATTACTCTGTTTTCTTTTATATTTTAGTTTCTGATTCTTCAA